GCATTCCCTTTGTGATATGGAACCTTGTGGTACAATGTCAGAGAGATCCCATACACTTACACACAAGTTATTGTCATGAAACTAGAAAAATGCTTGTTTTTTTGCCCCTTTATGGCCCCTTTTTCCTAAAATTTGGAGGCAATTACCCCCAAAATCAATCCCAGCCTTCCCTTTGTGGTATGGTACCTTGCAGTACAATTTCAGAGAGATCCATACACTTGAACACAAGTTATTGTCTGGAAACTAGAAAAATGCTTATTTTTGGTCCCTTTTTGGCCCCAAATTCCTAAACATTTTGGGAAATTACCCCCAAACTCAATTCCAGCTTTCCCTTTGTGATATGGAACCTTGTAGTAAAATTTCATAAAGATCCATACACTTACACACAAGTTATTGTCATGAAACTAGAAAAATGCTTGTTTTTTGCCCGTTTTTGGCCCCATAATTCCTTAATTTGAGGCAATTACCCCCAAAATCAATCCCAGCCTTCCCTGTGTGGTATGGTACCTTGCAGTACAATTTCAGAGAGATCCATACACTTGAACACAAGTTATTGTCTGGAAACTAGAAAAATGCTTATATTTGGTCCCTTATTCCTAAACGTTTTGGGCAATTACCCCCAAACTCAATTCCAGCTTTCCCTTTGTGATATGGAACCTTGCAGTACAATTTCATAAAGATCCATACACTTACACACAAGTTATTGTCCTGAAACTAGAAAAATGCTTGTTTTTTTGCCCCTTTATGGCCCCTTATTCCTAAAATTTTGAGGCAATTACCCCCAAAATCAATCCCAGCCTTCCCTTTGTGGTATGGTACCTTGCAGTACAATTTCAGAGAGATCCATATACTTGAACACAAGTTATTGTCTGGAAACTAGAAAAATGCTTATTTTTGGCCCCTTTTTGGCCCCTTATTCCTAAACGTTTTGGGAATTTACCCCCAAACTCAATTCCAGCTTTCCCTTTGTGATATGGAACCTTATAGTATGATTTCATAAAGATCCATACACTTACACACAAGTTATTGTCATGAAACTAGAAAAATGCTTGTTTTTTGCCCGTTTTTGGCCCCTGATTCCTAAATTTTGAGGCAATTACCCCCAAAATCAATCCCAGCCTTCCCTGTGTGATATGGTACCTTGCAGTACAATTTCAGAGAGATCCATACACTTGAACACAAGTTATTGTCTGGAAACTAGAAAAATGCTTATTTTTGGCCCCTTTTTGGCCCCTTATTCCTAAACTTTTTTGGCAAGTGACCCCAAACTCAATTCCAGCTTTCCCTTTGTGATATGGAACCTTGTAGTACAATTTCATAAAGATCCATATACTTACACACAAGTTATTGTCATGAAACTAGAAAAATGCTTGTTTTTTGCCCCTTTTTGGCCCCTAATTCCTACAATTTGGAGGCAATTACCCCAAAAATCAATCCAAGCATTCCCTTTGTGATATGGAACCTTGTGGTACAATGTCAGAGAGATCCCATACACTTACACACAAGTTATTGTCATGAAACTAGAAAAATGCTTGTTTTTTGCCCCTTTTTGGCCCCTAATTCCTAAAATTTGGAGGCAATTACCCCCAAAATCAATCCCAGCATTCCCTTTGTGATATGGAACCTTGTGGTACAATATCAGAGAGATCCATACACTAACACACAAGTTATGTCTGGAAGTTACAAAAATGCTTATTTTTGGCCCCTTATTCCTTAACTGTTGTTACCATAACCCCTAAAATCAATCCCCACCTTCCTTTTGTGGTATTGAACCTTATGGTAAAATTTCATACAGATCCATTAACTAAAATTAGAGTGCGTTAACCAATGTGTCTTCCGACGACGACGACATACCAAAATATGATATAAAAATATGGGGTGATGAATTTTTAGGTAGAGTAGTGATTTGGTCCAGTTAAAAAAAGGTAAAAAATTTGTATTTAAATTATAGACCCCCTTTGCATAGAGTTATCTATACTTTGAGTTAGAGCTGGTAGACTTTTCTATAATTTTTCTATAATAAAATGCCTCAAAAGTAATACACTACACTGCATACATGTGACAGAGTTGTCAAGTCACAAATGGAGATTTGAAAATTTTCAGCTGGAGTTTGGGTCTCATAACTGGAGATTTTTTTATTGACATATTAATATGATTAACTGCCATTTTCAGTGTTCATTTTGATGATAAAGCTACATATTTCCCCTTTTTTTAAGATAACAGTATTACTATTAATGTATTCTCTCTGTATTGTTACCATGTGAAATATTTGTCATCACTAAGCTATACTATTTGTCTGTGATTTTTTTCCTTTCCTCATCTTTGTCATCATTAGTGTGTTTCTCAGTTCTGTCATCCAAAAATTATTAATGTGTTTTACACTGTTATTCCATTTTTCTAGCTAATCTTGATTTAGCCAGATTAAGCATAAACACTCACACAATATTTCATTCATATTCTTTTATCAATTTACATTATTTTAAGGAGGGTTACTTAAAACATGATAAAACAAGGGAAGTAACCAAGTGTTTTCAAATACACAAAGCTTTTATTACATAATGGCAGTAACCTGAGGTAAAGATCGTTGATTAATAGTATGTTTGACACCCAAGCTGTCAAGTGAAGCCATATAATTATACAAGTTCTTTGATATACAGGTAAAAATTACTTTCATCAGTGACACAAAAACATAATTAATGTTGACATCGATAGTAATAAAAAATAGAGACTGACAAATTTTTTACGGGTTGAAAATTTGAAAAATATGGAATATTTGAATTTTAACGAGCCCCGGGGACAGAAGAGGGCTTAAAAATCAGGAGATTTTAACTGTCGCCAGAAGAATCACATGTCTGACATGGTAAAAAAACTTTTTGAGATAGAGCAGATGCAATTTTTCTAATTTGAATTTATTGTCTAAAAGAAATGCACTACAAAAACTGTGTTCTCAGTCCGTATGATTCCAATGAGACAACTAAATATCCACCAAAGACTGAAAGCCAAGGGTGTGAATAACTATGTCCTATAAAACTATTTATTTGACTGCATGTGGTGGAAATGAACGAATTCTAGACAGTTCGGCACCCAGACAAATCGGCACCGACAATTCCAATTGGGCACCTGAGAAAGACACTTGGCACCCAGACAAATCGGCACCTATCATAGACAAATCGGCACCTCATAAAGATAAAATCAATTATTAAATTCTTGATCAAAATATAATGAACCAAAAATCAAAATTTACTGGGAGTGATATAGATATGTGGGCATGACCTCAATTTGCAAGTTTAGTGTTAATATAGCAATAATTTTCGACTGTTTTTACAAATAACCAATTTGATTCCTGCACTATTTATGACATTATTGTATATGGTATCTTCGATGAAGTATCTTATGAAGTGGTTTATTCGTTTTGTTGTTTATTTGTGAAGACTGTATTGCATCTTAGTCATTTGGGTAGCTGTCTTATTTGTGTGTATTCTTTTTCCATATGCATGAAAATTGATTTCATAGATTTCACCATGCATGTACTAGTTTTAATGTAATACATAGTTCTATTCCGATAGTATTCTAAATCAATAAAACACATGTAGCATATTTCTAATATTTATTTTATTTATTATAATTATATTCATAACAGTTTATAGACACGTTAACAGCACTAGATTTGCATCAAAGGTGAACACATGATAGTAATGAAACATTTTAATACTGTAAATATAACATATAACATATGTACAGGCAGCACTATAAGTTTTAACAAAGTCACTTTGGTGGTGTTCTGTACACACTGGCACATTCCTTTAGCTGTCTGGAGGTGGAGATGCTGTTGCTACAATACTGGTCCCACAGTCTATACACTTTTGATCTCCATTGAGAAATTATCAAATTTCATTATAAACTTACATAAAATACTGATTAATGCATAACTACAATTAATTATGATTTAATTAAATGATGTTTATTCAAACACCATCATATTTAACAATCAATTAGGATGTTAATTAAAATTTAATGATGTTTATTCAAACACCATCATTTAGGATTTAATTAAAAAAAGACAATTATTTTTTCAAAATTTGTAATGCATATTTTATTTACGGATTTTAATATTTCTGTAACAATTCTTTTATTTTTCTTAATATTTATAGATTATCGTTGGTTATCTCAACGAGATTGATTTTCTCGCTTGAGCCGGTATTGGGCTGACCAATGATAATCTGTTTATTGCTGTTTTACCTATGACGACGTTGTTAATTTTATTGACAACGGGCACGTGGGCCCTTAGTTTCTAGCGATAATTTTACATATCACTCGATTCCACTGAGAAAGAAAATGATCAGTCAGCAAGATCATAGGAAAATTTTTAAAATAGCGATAAATATATATATATAGAAAAAAAAATGTGGTGCCGAATTGTCTTGGTCCCGAAATGTCCAAAACGGATGCCGAAATGTCTTCGGACCTGGGTGCTGATTTGTCTGGGTGCTGAAATGTCTTGTTACCGAAATGAACAGACAAAATTATAGGACTTGCGTGTATAGGTCACCTTACACCTTCAACAATGATTAAAAATTGGACTTATATATCCAGGATACATTGTTTTTTGGTCCCAGCAAGATACATGTATACTGTATTTATAGAAGGATATTCAAGTGTCTGTTATTGCAAAAAAAGACAAGTTATGGTTACTTGTCTCGGATTGTGAGAATTGCAAGAACAGTTTCAGTATCAATTTGTTATATGATTATTATAATATATCTGTAGAACCAGTGGAAGGCAATGGTGCCAGGTTCTAATGTGGATCACAAACATTTAACCATATGTATACAAAACATTTTGTATCATGATATATGTAAAAATATAAAACCTGTGGTTTTGGGCAACCGTACACAAAACAAGGAACTTTCTACTTTCTCTTTACATGTTATAAACGCCGGTTCAGACAACATTTTTCGTGTGTAAGTGAAAAATTTTCACCGTTGACATGTGATTTTTACCTCTTTGATACACTCATCAACGAAAAGTTGAGTATCATGAATGACTGAGGAAAATCAAAATGGCGGAATTCATTGTGCAGGCTCGACTGGCGGCTAGCAAACATTGCCGAGTTCACGAATATCTTCCACCTTTGCTGGGGGTCTTCCGCCATTACAAAGTGCTAATTTATCTATTTAAAAGATGGGAATGCTTCATGTGGAAATAGTATAAACATGAGTGTGTCAAAGTTAACTCATATTCTAACGAAATAATTTATTTAGTAGTTTATGCTTTATTCAATTAAGCTTGTCACCGTTAATATTAAATGAAGATAATGATTTCTCCCACGACTTTCTTTACAAATAAAGTAAAGTCCTGACTTGTTCCGTTATTTACTATATAAATACCCGAGATTATCCGATGGTATCTTTGAGTAGTGGCTATTGATACGGATCTGCTTTAGCGCATTGACAAAAATAGGGGTTAACTCTAGTTCCCACCAGATTTTTGTATTTTATGCCTCTGCTCCCATACACCTTATCGCTATTTGGAAATCTGTCTCGCTTGACCTGATAATCTGTCCCGCTTATACTTTTGACGTCATACAACAATCACTTTTCCATTGTGGCGTCAGATAATTCCTATTGTCACGACGTCAAAATTTTACGGGAACTTTTGTGATGTCCAGTAATGGCGGACAAATAGCGATAAGGGATCATAAGGTGTATTAATTAACCAACATGGACGATGTTACAAAAAAAAATTATAGGCAAAAATCAGTCAAAGAGATATTTTTGAAACTGAAAAAAACCGCTATAAATTGTTATTATATAAATAAATAAGAAAGTAAGTATTAGTCAGTAAATCTTATTTATATAGAGTCGGCACATATGTACCGTATCAAAATGTCTGTTCATAACAATGTAACTTTTAAAAAAATGTGACTATATAGAATGGGATCACATTAAGGATTAGTTAGGCCTGTTAGGGGATGATTGTAATTAATCAAAGTTGTAGTAGACCCCGTAGTAGACTACCTAAACGGAAGGATAATGACTGGGACTTATCTGAGACTACTGTTATAGTAGTATCAGGACTTATACATAAATTGGTCCCAGATCATGACGATGTCCTAGCGAGAAAATTCAGGGTAATTTTAGGTGCCGATATATCGCGAATTATTTCATGGATATGTGTGGTACATATATATGTCTTAATTACACCTTATATAAGAATGCCGGATTTTGATTGGTTGTTAGCCAGTGTATTTTTCGCATATTCTAACATTTTTTCCTTATTTCAAACGAATTTGCCTGTTTTTCACCACTGCCGGTGAATTTGCCTCAAATTCCCCTCTCTGCCGTGGTATTTGCCATTTTGGATATTCCTTTTTTACCCTCGCGAGCAAGTTCCCGCCAAACTTATTCGGAACCTTTCTCACTTTATCCCGACAACATGGTTAAGCACTATTGATTGAGTCAAACCGAAAACTGTCAGAAATATACATATAAAGAGGGGATTAAAAATGTCTATACAAATGAACGATTTAATGATGGTATAACAATGACGTTTACACATATAGATACAAAAAGACAGCACTAACGCGTATAAGAATCGTATAAGTACATGTATAATTCCCGCGGTACTACGATTTCCCTTCACATCAGTGTACAGACAGTTTCAATCAAAATCTATTCGGTGTAATTAAACAGATATATCATGTTATGGAGGTTTTTTTTTTTTAAAATACCAGTCTTGGGACCAAATTTCCCTCGCCTAGCGGCTTAGGAAATTTTACTGTCCCTTGACTGGTATTTTTCGCAAATACCCCTCCATAACATGATATATCTGTTCAATATCTCAGTTGACTTGTCTCAAATTTCTAAATAATTGATCGGGTCCATCTGTATATGAGCTAGGAGTGTTCCTTAATTCACGCTATTGGTTTCTGTTGAGTTTACTATATTAATTATTGACTTTGTGTTGTAGTAATCTCAGGTTTATGCCGTGGCTTACAATAGTCATGAACGAAGTCGGACTTCCACAAACTCTTAATATTAAAATATTTCAAGATCTAGATATTATTACAGACCAAAACAAATGAGCACCAATTCAGAAAAACAAACAAATTCCCACTAATACAAGCTAACAGTCTACACTGGCTTACATTTATGATTGAAACCACACATGTAGATCAGCCCTTTAAAACAAACAATAGGGTTGTGAGCTCACAAACATATTTAACCCCGCCACATGCTTTATGTGCCTGTCCCAAGTCAGGAGACTGTAGTTCAGTGGTTGTCGGCGTTGGTTCATGTCTGTCATACTTGTTTTTCGTAAATTGTTTTGTTATGAATTAGACCGTTAGTTTTCTCAATTGAATTGTTTCACAATTTAATTTCATATCGAGGCCTTTTATAACCGACTATACGGTATGGGTTTTTCTCATTGTTGAAGGCCGTACGGTTGTCTATAATTGCTTAAATCCACTCCATTTGAACTTTGGTGGATATATATAATATCACTGGCAATCATACCACACCTCCTTGTTTTTATATTATTCAGCTATGGTCTCTTAAGAAACCGTAAAACATTATGAACATCACCTCTCAGATTCATTATCAGATGACATGCTATCTCAAATTCATTCCACTGATATTATACAGCTCTTGAGAAACTCTCTCAAAATGAACAGAATGATATTAACATCAATACTGATATCAACAAATGAAAACGGTTTTTCCTCAAATGTGGGTCTCATTGTGGTGTAAGCGTGATCCGGGATTGGCCGATATTTCGTGAGCGTGACACGTGAAAGTCAAATTATATTTGCGTGAAAACGGGAAACGAAACCGAGCGGGACACGTGAAATTACAAGCGCTATTGTGACAATGATAACAACAACAATACTTTATTTTAAGAGGGTTACACAGTTCGCTTTATAACTCATCTTTCCTGAGGCCTTCATCATAGAAAAAGCATAAACAAAAAATGCAACATATACATGGCATACATTAGTATAAAAGTCAAGTATAATGATAATCACTGTTCAATACAACTGCATAAAATGTTATATGAAAAAAATAAACGGGATTACGGGATTCTGACAAAACAATAAGCGGGATCCGGTATCAGCTTATATATACTACATGACGGATGGACAGAATGCCGAATACGATGTCAAGTGTATTGACACTGCATGATCTAAAGTAAATGAAAAACAGTATAGAAATTTTACAACTTTTAGAAAATAATCACTTCCAAAACATTAGAACTTGAGCAATTATCAGCCCGATGTGTGGTATGTATGTGGCAGATGCACTAATCTTTTTGGAATAGTTCGGCTATCTTAAATTTTAGACTGATTGCCACTCGGCAATCATGTATATTAGAATGGTAGTCAGTCCTCAGACAATTTTACTACCACTATTACAGGCGTGGTATCAATATGAAGCAACGACTAACTGGAGATATCAATTGAACCAGCTTTTGATGCATTTTCCTCAATAAATTACGCCTGACAGTAAGACACTTAACTATTTGCACGTTAAATTCAAATAACATTGTCGTATCTGTAGATAGTTTAGAGATACATAATTTGTGGTTTCAAATTAACTTTAAATAATGAGATTATAAACATACATTGTAAGCAGTAATATAATATAGTACAGTAGTAATGATATACAATCTTCACATACATGTTTACATAATAATCGATTTTTGTAATTATCTTTATTTGCTGCCTTGGAATAAACATATCTATCCAAAATAATAGACTGATCATTCTATACCCATGTATTGTGACATGACAGTCTAGGTGCTCGTACAAAATAATATAGAGATATATGTCGGGTTTTTTTTGCAACTAATTTTATTATTTCATTATTCCCAACCGGTAGCCAGTTTTCAATTTTGTGCTGGGACCAACAGATCTTGATCAAATCATCATTCTGATTAAAATCCGATCTTAAGTCACTTTACTCCCTTAACACATGAGGCTCAGTCTTCTTTTTTGTCTACTGTGCTATAATCTGGATAATGCGCAGCTAGGGTTTGCATTAACTACCTCAAATATACAGTACAGTTTAGATGTACTCTTATCTTTAGGGGCGGATCCAGGATTTTACATTATATATTTTCCAATCAAAGGTGGGTGTAGGCCCTCTTCGCCCCCTTTTTGTTCTCAATGGAATTTATTACTTCTTTTTAAGTGACTATTTTGGGATCGAATTTGATGAGGGGTAAAGAGTGAAAAGTGAAACATTTTTTTGTTTTGTTTACTTTGCACTATAAATCTAAGTTCATCTCCCCTCGATTAATCTTCCTCTGAGCATATTCTTGAGAGAAAGAAAAGATATTAATATATACTCAATAACCCTTTCATTTATGATTTGTCATACGCCGATTTAAAAGAAAATCAATTGGACTAAAACTGTAGGAGGTCACGGTGGATTATACGCCAATAAGGCAGCAATCAAACAACCAAAAACCACCTAATATTGAAATAAGAAGATGTGGTATGATTGCCAATGGGACAACTCTCCACTAGAGACCAATTGACACAGAAGTGAACAACTAAAGGTCACCGTACGGCCTTCAACAATGAGCAAAACCTATACCGCATAGTCATTTTTAATATATTTTTTTTCTGATGTTCTCAACAGATTTCTTATGTCACACAAATGTATAATAATCAGAAATTCATCAGAGGGAATAATTGCATAATTGATGTATGTGTTTTGTCTATTGTTTGTTATAAGTCGCAAAATTGCTGTCTCTTTTTTGTTTTATTTTTTTTTTCTATCTTTTCATGTATTTCAGCAGGGACAGTCTATACTAACATAGACTGTCCCTGATTTCAGCGATGATCCTTTTGTACTGGATTATATACTGAATAAAATTAGTTAGTTAGTGAATTAGTTATTAAAAAAATTGAAAATTTTAAATTTATAGTTGTCTCAGATCAAACGGAGCAAAGTAAAAGATCGGATTTTAATTAGATTGTACAAGAAGAAAAATTGACTAAGTTCCCTATACCAGAGACATATATGTATTATATGTCTCTGCCTATACATACACAATATGAGCATAAATAACGTTACCATAGCCCATACCTTAAAATTGCAATCGGAAATTTTCGGCTTATTCCGAGAAAAAGTAAAATATTTTTCGTGTAATTGAAAATGGAAACCCCGAATTTGATGCGT